TGCACATGCAGATACCATCAAAAAAAAACAGTACTGCAAGAGCAAAGCTTTCTGCATGCTGCATTAGTTATTTTCCAGCACTGGTAAGCAAGCCATTTTAACTGTTAGAGATGGAGGATCTCACCGTCACAAGCCATGCAGTCCTAGTTGTTTGAAGGTATCCATAGAGGGAGAAGTTCCTTGCTTCTGCATTTTACAGTGCCAGCAGTTCTGGCCCATTTCACCTGGTTCCGTGACTATGCCAGGGCGGAGGGACCTGTGCCCTGGGAAAGGAGGGTAGGGAAAAGACAGGGAGATGGACCTAAAAAGAAAACAGCGGCAACGAGCTAAGGGGGAAAACTAATTTACCAAATATGATACCAGAATGTGAGATAGCACAATACAATACAATGTAATTGGAATTGAGGCTAATGATTGAGGCTACTAGGTTTTGATGGACAGTAAGTTACTGTTGTGCATCCACAGGTGAGAGCTTGGTTACACTCCTGTAATAAAATGTGTGTGCAATTGGATGGATCCCATGCAGGCCATTGACTGTCCTTTACCACTCTGTAGGGCAGCTTCAGCAATTTGTTTCGGTTATAAATCACATTGGATCATGTGTGTGCACATACTCTGTCCTCTGCATTGCTCTTCAGTTTTGCCCCATGTTGCTAATTGACATCTGCTTCTCAGAGCAAGTAAGACTCAGAGAGAAAAAAGAGTTCTGGGGCAGTTAACATTTTTAAGTAGAAGACAAGAATGTAAAACCATATTAGAAGAAGTTAGTCCAAATAAATCAGTGCTGCATGAGAACAATGATATTCAGGAACCAAAGCTTTAAGGTATTCAAGGTTGGATGAGAATGACAGCTTCCTGTGGGACCACTACAGGACTTGGGGGCACGGTAATTACTATGAAGTTCCAAAAAAAAAAATCCAAATGGTGGATGTTGAATTCTGCTAGAGGGGATGCAGGCGGTACTCAGAACTGAATGAAGTCTACATCACACTTAACCTAATTATATGGTTTAGATGAACTTAATGCACCAAGGGTTTGTGTTTTTTTTGACATCTAGAAGAGTCACGTGTGTACTTCTTATCTTATACTTACCTTATACTTCCTACTGTTATCTTCCACTCCTTCATTATGTAGCACTGGTAACACATGTTCTTGACATAGCTTAATGACTTCTAAACAAATTCTTAATCCTCTGTGCACTTAACCGATTTTGAGCTGCAAATTTTATACTAAGGAATCAAGTGAAATTTCACATATTCTCTGTGTGTTCATCCACATCGATTTTTCCCACTTTTTTGAGATCTATTTTTTTTCTCTCCTAACAGTACAGAGTAGGTTACTGTCCATAGAATTAAGAATTTTCTTGAGACAGCTGGGAGAGACAAAAGTAGAGGGAAGAGAGTAGTGGGAAGACTTGAGAACAGCAAATGGAAAACAGTTTGGATTGAAGTAAAAAACTGGAACAGAAAATAAAGTGTACTCTAAAAGATAGAACTAGATAGAGTAATATACAAGTTGTATACGTACACACTATGAGTGTCTGTGTTTAGTATAGCGTATAGGTGGTGTGTGCAGTGTGCTCTGTAGAAGTACACAGAAGCGTAGCGCAAGGTAGAAGTGAAGACTGGCCTCTGCAGAGGTTGTGGAATCCTGCGGCAGTGCCGAAAGCCCTGCTGGGCACAGTGCTGAGCTGCCGGCTCCGGCTGGCCGTGCTGGAGCACGGGCCTTGAACTAAAGGGTCTCAAGATGCCAGCTGTTCTGTGATGGGGCTCTTCTTTAGGTTTTAGTAGTCCGTGGAACATGCAGTGTGAATATTCTATTTCCTAAGAACACACAGAATGTTGTAATTAAAACATAGCTGTTTGTGTTTATTTTTGTGTGTATGTTTTCAGAAATGGCATCAATAGAAAAAGCAAATGTCTCTGTGACCCTAATAAAATTTGAATGTTATCTGTTTGGAGAGAGCAAAATGAGTAGGTGCTGATTTCCCAGTAAATCTGTCTTTGTCATTGGTAGTGCCAGTTCCCACAATCCTAACATTCCCAGGGCATCAGTCAGTGTCTACAAGGAACAATTTGCAAATGTTAAAGCATGTGAAAAGACGTACAGGCCAAAACTCAGAGCTCTCTAGGGACTGTGACCCCTCAGATGGAATATATTTTCACAGGCTACATGAAAGAATTCCAGCAGGGTCATTCCATTTGGTAAACTTCTAAACAAACGTTCTGTCATTTTAGTTTGATTTATAGATTTTCTTTTTAATTATCTGCTTATTGTGAAGAGATTAAGATGAGAGACGTGACCTTTGACGGGCTCAATTTAAGGCATCTGGTATATATGAAGAAATTCTGATACAGGGATTGGCAATTGACTGATTACAGAAGATAGGGAAAGTATGTTTATTTTTAAAGAGATCTCCTGATCAAACTGCCTGACTCTGGCATCTTTTTTCCTGGAATTCCGTGTGGATAACTACATGCATAGCTAGAAATTAATGTTAATTTTAACTTCCAGTGTGTAATTATTAAGAATTGCTAGAATTAAATCCTAGCTGCCTGTGTTATTCTTGAAATGTTAGTGTGTAGTACAGCTGCTATAAGTAGTGTTGTACAAAGAAAACTGGTGATGTACAGTAGTTACTATGTGAGCCCTTTGCAAATCACAGGTGGCATTCTCCTGGTGAATGCCTGAATATTGTCATTTAAAATGATATATTTGTGTGTGTATGTATGTATGTATATATATATGTATGTATGCAGTTGAATGCATATTTTTTGCTTATATACCTTTACATTTTTATTTCTTTAGGTATATATATGGGTAAGGTAGAATGGTAGCATGTCTTTCATTTACGCTGTGAACAGTGCCAGCGTATGTCGTCTCCTGTTTGGCATTCACTGGGAGAAGAGAAGTAGGACATGCAGACTTACAAATTTGAAATGACCTTGAAAAAGCTTGTCTTTTTTTTTATGGCAAGAGCAACTGAGGGAAGTGGTGACCCTAATTTGGATTTTGGTTTTTGTTACCACAGTAGGGTAAGATATTAGCAGTATTACAAAAATTCTCAAATTTTTCATTTGACTTTTTGGAGAAAATAGAAGGAAACATTTGATGTTTTATGACCAAAAGAATGTGAAGACAAAAAGCTCAGTTAGAATCTTAAGGCTGTATTTAAGATGAGCCTAAATTCACCTCTGATGAACGTCGTATGTATGCAAAGCAAAGAACTTACGCACTGGTATTAAAAAAAAAGTCTTGCTTTGTTTCTACCTAACAAAGCAGGATAAAAATCTGTTCTAAGTTGGAATTTTGTAAAAACAAACTGAGAAACCCTCAGTTACAGCTCAAGTTAACACATTTTTTCAGAGAAGTATAACAGGTATTGTTCACATGAATATTTTAGTCTGTGAACTCAGAGCACCATTTTACTGTTTGGAGAAGTCACTGCACAGATGAAGAACTGAGTTATCCTAAGACAGTGTGAAGAACCCAGAAATTTAGAAGTGTCCATAAATGCAGGTTGTGTCTTCCTGCGCCCGGCGGAGGTGAGGCTGCCAGGTGGGGCCACGGGATGGCGGGTTGAGGCGATGAGCCGCGGAGTGGCACGGAGTGATGGCAGCGTGCAGGGAGATCCTAAGGGGCAAAGCCATGTTTCCCTCTTGCATAGTTCTAAAATTCTACAGCAGGCGTCTGTTGTTGCATGTAGACTTGTTCCTACCCGATGCCGTGAGAACAAAACAGTTTTTCTGAGGGGAGATGTCCTTTATAATTTCAGGGTGAAGGATTTAAAATACCAGAGAGGGATGTGGAAAGTTTCTAGAACGACAGGGGATTTAGGCCAAAGGGAAGGGAATGTGCACCTTCTGGAGTTAACTTCGATGTGCAGCAGCTACTTAAAATTGCATATAGCTTATTTCTTCGAAGTACAAAATATATGCAGTAATCTTCTTTTGCCTTATGGCGTGTGGCAGATCATTTGAGGGGGATCCCTTTCCCCAAAACCTTCCTGATTGACACTGAAGCTGATGACTCACCTAAGATGAATGTAAAGTGCTGGAGAGAATGGCAGATCAGGAGCCGTGGGAGGAAACGCTTCTGAAACTGCTGGGGATAACAAGAATTGTAATTAATGCAAAAAGTAAAATAATGGAACGCTCATTTCTCAGATAATGACAACAAGGAGTAGAAGCTCTCCTGTACAGCAAGGAAACGCGTGGAAGCCATGAAATGCTCTTCTCACTTATTTCTGCTAGTTAAAGCCTCTGGAACAGGGCTGGGGCTGGGAATGTTCCTCGACATTTTTTTCAATTGCCAACAGGCAGCTCTGTTGCCTGATGAAAATTAGTAAGTAATGAATGTGCCAGTTGGGCAAAGACAAAGTATCGCTGCTGCCTGCAGCAGTGTGAGGAGCTGTGGGGGAAAGGGGTGGAAAGGGGAGAGTCCTCAGCGGTAGTTTGTCTTAGGTATCAGCAAATGCTGCTCCTTCAGCAACTGCTGGATTTATTTTTAACTGCTTGACTCATTCTTTGTCAGATGATTGACCGTCAAGCTGCATGCTGAAACGCGACTGTGCAGAAGAAGCAAGCAGAGCTAAAGGAGAAGGGGGAGGAGTGGTTTTCTGGGAAAAGAGGCGGGATTTGAGAGTTCGGCTTCACGGGCTCTGTGCTGTCATTTGAGTGAGTTACAGGCTCCAAAGCAGACTGAGCGTCTCACAGGTCAACACAGACAGTGAAGGATGATGGCTGCTTTTGGCTGCAAAGAGATGTGACTGCTCATTTCTTAGGAGAAAGAAACTGAAGCAGTGTTCGGGACAGCAGTGCACTGCTTGGTGACAAATCAATATTTTTTTCCTGTGCTGGATGTTGCCAGTCTAAAGGATTCTCACCATGATCGATAGCTGCAAGAAGCAGCAACAGGGCTTTTCTGAGATTTTACCTGCTGGAGATGTTAAGCCACTGAAGGAGAAGGAATGCCTTGAGGTGAACAGCCAGAGAAGTCTCAAGGAAGGTCAGTCTCTTACTGATTGGGGGACAGAAAATTCAGAAGAACCATGCATTCTAATTTCACAAGTATTTCTGGGGTCATACTGTATGTCAAGGAGTGTCTTTGCACAACAAATTAGGTATTGTTTTCCCTCTAAAAGCTGAATTCAGAATTTAGTTGTTAAATAATGATCATCATAGCTTGACAGAAATTGTACCGTGAAGAAAAATGAGCGATCGCTCTCTTCAGAGTAATATGTAGTTCTGAATTCATGAAGAACTCTGAGATTTTCTGTAAATGTTGCACAAAACCCTCCAAAATGTCACTGAAATGAATATAATGAAATGAATATCATGAAATTTGACACTACTGATAACAAAAACCCACAGACTGTTAGTTCGGTATGTGCATTGCCACTGGTATTGCCAACACTGGTTTCCTCAGCTACTGTCTTTTTCTAAATAGCCTTCTTTTCCCCATTCTTGAATTGGATTACAGCCTGCTTTCCAGATGTCTGCTTTTGAAATTAATTCATATCTCCTTAAACGATTGTTATTACACTGTACATTAAATTAACACAACCCATAAGCATCGGTCTGTAAAATACAAATAGCTTGAGGATATTTGCAGCTTTATTTAAAGCTAACAAATGCTGCTATACAGAATTAATCTCAAGTAGTATTTGCTGGGCTGTGGCTATAGCACTGCTGAGGCATGGAAGCTGTCTCATTCCTTCTAGCAGGAGATATTCTTGTAGCTGGCCTGCATTAAGGGGGACTGGGAAGAGACCGCCTGAGGTCAGCTGGCAGCCCTGCACGCGCACTGAGCTGGTGCATGATAACTTTCCAGGCGCTTTGCAGTTCAAGACTCAGACTCAAACTTCATAATCCATCAGAAACGAGTTCTATTTTGTAGCAGACAGAGCTCCTTCCTCCCTTTTAGAGCACTCAGCCGTGGCTTTTGCTCCATGTATCATTGGGTTCTCTGGTGATACAGAGATTTCTTCTTAGTTCATATGACATGATTTATTTCTTCCTTTCCCCTTCCCATATGAGAAGCCTTTCTCAGAATTTAAATGCTGGCTTTGCTTTTGTGTTTAATTTGGATCTTAATAACATTTGAAATAGCAAAAAGATATAAAGTTTCTTACAGAATTCAGTAACTGGCACTTTTTTTAAACAAGGGAGAAAAGCCACCGTGTTACTTAGAAATAAGTTTGGGCTACAAAAAAATACTGATTTTTATATACCAAAGAGCTTATGGTTTGTTGTGTTTTTTTGTAATACTGCTTCCTTTCCTCCTGATGGAAAGACAGTGCTTGAAGAGAGAAGGCAAACAGTGGCTTCCTTCTCATAGTGTTTGCCTTGAGAACTCAAACAGTCCCACTCGAACCTGAGGGAATACAGGATTCCTTCTTCCAGCATTTCTTCTTTCTAAAGCTTAGCAAAACAAGCCATTTCTTTGTTATGTGTGTAGAACAAATTACTGAAAACATAGTAAATCTGTTATGTAGTGAAGACCTGCTATCTTCACCTTTTCAGTTTATAATATAAATATGTAGTTTAGGTATTTTTCAGATTTTCCCTTTCGTATTCAGATACTTTTCAACACCATGTGTGAACGGTTAAAACCAAAAAAAATTAAAATTTGTTTAGCAATCCACAATGAAGAATGTAGAAATCTGTGTAATTCAGAAGGTGACGTAGCCTTTGCTTCCTAATCTGTTCTGTGTAAGTTTGATAAATCTAAAAATGATAGTTTGCTTATTTCAGGAATAAATTCTATTGGGTGCAGCCTTTTTTTAACTTGCTTCTTTACAGGGAAGAAGAGCTTGGTGGAAACACAAATCCTAATGCTGACTTTAACAGATGAATATTAAAGGCACAGGAAGGTTAGGTTACAGGGATTTTATTTTCTTCGCATAGGCTAATGAGTATTCAATAAAATATAGATTGTGGTATCCTATAGTTACTTATTATCAGTTCTGTGAAAATATTTCTTAGTTTTACACATTTTATCAAAATTGCCTTTGTATGAGCAAAGAACAAAAACTGTTTGTCCCTGGGGCTCACTGTGCAAAGGTAGCTAAGCAGCTTCTTCAGAAATTCCCGAAGCACTGCCATCTCATAGCAAGCGAACAGACAACACATCTAGAAAATTAAGTGAAAAGCCTTGGATGAAATAAGGGCATCTTGTGCATACAGTTAGTAAGAAAGAGTCCACATCAACAGTGCGTATTTTAGGAATATGTTTTGGCCACGTTTGTAAACGAGCAGTGAATTTGGGCAGTTTTGCTTTGTACTCCGGGTTGTTCCAGTACAGAAATTACTGAGCTTGTTCAAGAATGTACAGCTGTGCAGGGAAGTTCTTGAAGGGATTATGAAATTGGTGGAAGAAATGAGGATGGTGCTATCTTTCATGTATTAATCCGAGCTTCAGAGTTACCAGTTGCCTGCCAGTTACCGTAAGGAAACAAAGCTGACCAGGAAAAAATGTTTTTCCTCCCTCTCTCCCCTTAAAGCATAATTAATTTCCTGGGTTCATTGTGCTTTTTTATTTTATTGACTTGTGAGGAACTGCAAACTGGCAAGTCCTAGAAACAGCATACAGGGCAGAACGAGAGAAGCACAGGCACTGCTCAGGTGCTTGCTGGAAATATCTGCATGCTGTCTGGTTAATGAGTTACCAGATTTAGGCAGGAGTGGTTACTTCCCTTCGTCCATGCAGTTAAATCGATACTGCACGAGAGCTGTTTATTTAGCACATTTCCTGCATGTTGAGTACTGGTCAAACTCTGGACTTTTACTGCTCTCCTGCCGTGGCATAAATTCCTGAGGATTCTGCTGGCGTTTATTTAAAAAAATAGTTTTTCTAGATAGTGTATATTTATGTAAGTATATTTTAAGTATTTATATATAGTGCCCCTCATCAGTGGCAGCTTATCGGTATGTTTCTTAAAACACTGATAAGGAAATGCTGAAAAATAGTATACTGTTTGTTATAGTTAATCAAAGGAAGCACTTCAAATGCAGTACACTGATCCTGTGAGGTTATATTACTGTCCTTAACTTTGCCTACCATAAATGCTCTCTGTAATGACAGTGGGATAATTGCATGTCTTACAATTAAACCAACACACTACAGATTTTTCTGGTTCAGTATAGCACTTAAACAGAGAATAAGTGCATGGTAGTGCTATTGTAATATTGTAATAGCACATGCTTGAATACCTTGATAAACCAAGGTCACAGTGTAGTAATTATATGTTATATATTATCTATATGCAATTAGGTGATACATTGGCTATCCAGGAGCTGTAAGAAAACTTGCTATGCAACTCCAGTCACGCCAAAGATTTTCCAAAGCTTTCAAAGAAAGTAAGGCCTAAGGCCACTGCTGCCAAAAAATAGGTGTCATCTCGTTCAGCCTTGTGCTGTTTGCTGCCATCTTCCTTCTCATGCTGGCATTAGTGATTATGCTGTTCTGGATTGAGCTGGATCAGTGAGTTTGTGTCACTGAAGGCTATTTCAGTAATCTTGGATTTCCCAGGTCAGAGTACTGACCTGGAAGGCTACATCTTTGCTGGTGCTGCTGCAAGTGGAGCAGCTGTGGTTGGAGAGAGGAAGAGACCATTACCTCTTCATTGGCATTCTGCAGTCTAAGATCAGATTAAGTTACGAAACCACACTGAAGCCGCTGTCTGTTCTGTTGCAGTGCTGGAGGTTTCTTTTCCTTTAACAAAGCATCCAGCAGTGCATGTATGCACTTCCAGTCTTTCTAAGGCAGTGACTTTGTTGTTGTCCACTGAGCAAGCCCCTACAGTTATGTTATTGTCTACATAGCAAATTGACAGAATGCCATTGCTTCCACCCCAGGTTGCACCAGCCATCTTAAATATACATCCACCTTCCTCATTTTAGGTTAATGTGTAATCTTGTGACCCGGATGATTGGCCTGGGTACACATTTTGTTTGCTGCCTCTGCTGTGCATAGGAAGACTGTGTAGAATGGAGATATTAACTTCCCAAGGGGGCTTGGCTGGAAATTGTCTGTCATCAGTCAATGTATTACGCTCCAGACTTATCACAAAGCAAGTCTGTGGCTGATGGAGAGTTTGAACCCATTAGCCTCTTGACAGTGTGTTTCTGAGCTGATAGTAATAATGGAGGAAATACAAATCTGTTTAAACAAACATTAATAGACAGTATTAAGGAGAGGGCTGTTGCAGATTTAGAATATGTAATTACAGTTCAGATACTTACCGTGTGCAATTTTACAAAATGCTTTTGTTTTTTCAGATTTCATACCCAAGATGGGAGTCTGTGTTGGTGGTTTGTGTTTTTTTTAATTCGAAAGATTTTGAAGGAATCGTAAAAATACAGGTTTTGCTTTTAACGTATACATATATATTCATCCCAGCAGACCTTCCAGTAATTTTAGAGCCTCTGCATGTTCTGACTTGTTTCTAAGCAACGTGTTCCATAGCAATAGGAAAAGATACAGACTGTTCTGTTTCCTACTCGTTTAAGCTTCTCAACTGACACTGTTGTGCTTCATTTTCTTTGTTTTTAATGATCACACTTCACTATCCTTCTGATCCGGCTTTTCTTTTCCTACTTCCAGTATGATAATGTTGCTTCTAGAAACAACTATGTGTACAATATTGCTGCTTAAATCACAGTGCTGTAGGATTTCCCTCCAGAATTTGGAAAAGATGGTTTGAAACAGCCCTCAGTACTCTCTGCTGCCACCATTTATAAGACAGAATGATGGTACACCTGAGTATCTGCTAAAATGAGTATGCATAAGAGACAGTTTTACTTTTCCTGCATTGTGTTGGATATATTCTTAGCAGAAAATTCACATACAAAATAATAGAAAAAAATACATAAAAATCTGCAAGAAAAGGCAAGGGATTTTTTTGTAAAAATAGGTTTTTGTTTTTTAAATGACACTTTGGCCTAGGTGGTGTCAGATTTCTTTAATGATTGATTAATTATTTCTATTTGAAAATTAAACTTATTCAACAGGTCGCATCATCTTCAGGCTGGGGGTCAGGACGACTGTTGATGCATTTTATCTTTAGCCTGCTGAACAAGTTAGAATTAGAATCACTTCCAACAAACCACAGACAGCTAATATTCTCACAGCTTTTTCCTCACCATCCTTCTTTCTTAGGCATGCCATGTAAATGAAAAGAGCACTGCGTCATCCCATTCCTGAGTTTGGACACACAGAAATGAGTAAAGCTAGTTACTGTATTTGCTAACAAACTAGTTACTGTATTTGCTATCGCCATAGATTGTTTGTGAAGGCCACCTGCCATCGGCTAAAACACTCTCCTACTTTACTGCCACCCTGCTGTTCACACACCTGCATTAATCCTGGTGCTGTAATGAGTCATAAATCACTTCTGATGGAGGACTGTATTTTGCAGTGCAGCAGACAGAACTGTCTTCTGCAGCAGTGCCTTCCTGCAACTGGAACGTGCTGTTAACATCTACTGCTCTGTGCATCAGGCCCAGTATGTCAGAGACTGCCTGTGTAAAGCCTGTTTCAAGGGAGGCTGTTTTCAATAGAGGCTTTCTGTGTAATAGATTTTAATTTAAAGGAAACAACCGTGTTTCCAGCACTGTCTGTTTCCATGGCAGCCAACCTAGCAGCCCGCACCGGAGTTCCTACCGCTCTTGGAAATTTCCAAGGCAGAATGCTGGAATGTTGGAGATGGCATTATCCCATTTTTTCTTGCAGTTTTAACACAAGTAGCTCATTTCCACTGGAGGAAGTAGTGGGTTGATTACATAAAGAACTTTTTTTTTTTTTAAATCAGTACATTATTCTTCTTGCTGTCAGCTGAAATAACTGTATGCTGATTAATGAACACCTCAGTGATTCAGTCTGTTGCATTTCTATCCTTGTTAAATGTCAACTATTTGAATACTTTCATAGCACCTTCTCTAAAAAGACAGCACTTCAACTTGAATTGAAAATAACAGGATATAAAATGGTATTAGATGAGGAACCAGTGCTAGAATTACTGCACACAGAACGTGTTCTGGTTTTTTTTCTAGACAAGGAGCAGTGGTGAAAGCTTGCCAGTCATGCAGATAGCATTGTTCCTGCCAGGCAACTATTTATTTTTGGCCTCCTTGCATTCCAGTTCTTGGGATTATAGAGTATTACTTTGAGACACCTTTTCCATAGGATACAAATTACACATTTGTAACAAAGCGAACACAGGATACAAATTACACATTTGTAACAAAGCCAAGGCTAAAAATCACGTGCTCAACTTTGCTAGTAACTGTACTCTAAGTCATTTAATAGCACACTTTATTTTTACTTATTCAGAAAGTAATTGGGGAAAACATGGAAATCGTGGAATCTCTTAGCCTGGTGCTGAAGTGTTAAACTTAATATCATGCACTGACTTGAAAATAAAAAAGAATACAGGCTCCACCAGGTCAGAACAGGAGTCTGACTGGCCTCTGCATGGTTTTTATTCAGAAGCAGTTGGAAGACAGTTCTTTGGAGTGGCAGCGGTGTGAAGGGGACATTCCTGGCAGATAATTTGAAGTGCAAAATGCTTGTGTTTTAGCAACTGCATTTGCTCAGTGGTGTTAACAAAGCCCTTCTTTTGTACATAGATCTTTAAATATAAGAAATAACACTAGTAAAGTTTGCAGTGTATCAACATATTTAAATCTTTGTTAGTTCTGGGCCTTAAATTTGGAGATCCACCTTCTATGATTGTGGATGTTATGTATGTTAACTACCTGATTTTAAAAGCATAAGAGTGAGAAGCAATCAGGCAACAAGCTGCACAGATTCGCCCAGAAAAGAGCAGTCTGTTCAGCACCACGGTGAGTGAGGTGCACCCGGAGGAACTTCGCTTCGAAGCACCTCATTTCTCTTGAATTCTCCCTTCCCTGGATTTCATCATTTTGTCTGGAGATGGTTATTAAAAAAAAAAGAACAAAAAAAAAAAAAGAAAAGAAAAAAAGAGAGATATATAGATAGAGAACAAATAATACAGTGTAATCAATTAGTATAATGCCTCGATAGATTTCAGATTATTTATAATATCTGTCTTCTGGTTTTATCCATCTTCCTGTCTTATTAGATTTACTTTATATGTTACTGACTGCTGCAGAAATCTTTTCCTGAGTGGATTTCTGCTTCTATATATAATCAGTAAAGTCAGTTTTAGATTTATTTAAATTAGATTTAAATTAACCTAAAAACTACTGTATAGTTTCTCCCTGAAATAAATTTGCAATTCTTTGCTAAAATTGCAACTTGAGTTCCATTCTCATATATTTCATTCTTGTCTTTGAATATGATTTCATCACATCTCCCTTATTAAAACCTTTTAATTTAGTTTCCATGAAACCCCATCTTCAATATCTTTCCGATTGATGCAGCTTTCTGTGAGTCCCCATTTCCTTTCCAGCTTTTTGTAAAATAAATTCTTAGTTCCCTTCCTTCATACCCACTACAGGTGCACCTTCAATGTAATGATACAATTCTGTATATCATGTATATCTGCTGAGTTGTAGGGCCAAGTCTCTGTGACTGCAGTGACATAATAAAGGTCCTTCCTGCCGGTATCGTGACACGCAGGCTCTGCACGCTGACTTTTGTCCAGATGGACCTATCCAACTCATGTACCACAGGTTGCCATCTCCTCCTTAGAAACATCTCGGCTTCTTTATTTCCGTCTCCATGTGACTAAAGGCATCTTAAACCCTTCTGTCTTTCCGTGATGTATAAATACTACATTTTTTCCTGGTTTGTTTGCTTTGCAAAAGCAAAAACAATTTCAGCTTTTCATCTCTTAGAACTAGCATACTACTTTTCAATTTGCAGCATCTTCTGTTAGACACTCTATTTTCTTTAGTCACGCAATTTGGAATTAATTTTTGGTAAAGAATTCGTTTAAACTGTTTGGAAAACAAGAGGTAAGATACCTACATACTTAGGTTTATTTTTTGCCGAATAGATTTGCTTTGTCCTCTGCCGTTTCCTTTATCAGTTCCACCAATCACACTCATGGCCAAGCAACATTCATTTCAAGAATTGACAGAAATTCTGTCAACCACAAATACAAATAACACATCCTGGGGTATATGTGATTGCACCATTGATGCTTAGGTGGCGTAGGGCTGTGCTTTTGTTTGCTTGTTTGTTTTCCAGAGGAGTCTCAGCAGTGGCATACACCTGGGGCAAACAACGCATACTTTGGAGAGATACAGAGGAATATAGAGTAGAAGTATTGAAGCAGTTATTTAGCTTGCTTGTGATACCAAACTGCAGTGTGAGGCCTTTCTGATTTTTTTTCCCCCACAAATTTGCCAATGAAAAATGAAAATGCAATAACCATTAAATGCTGAGGTGGTAGGACGTGTTTAGGCTGCCCAGTCCAACCAGGTGACCTAGCAGTAAGCATCTGCGTTAGTGCAGTAGAATGCCAAATGCCAAACAGAAGTTTGCTCCCTTTCATATGAAGATGGAAAAATTTTTGTCTGAGAATCAAGTCAGTGACTGGATCTGGGAAGGCAGCTCTAGGTCTGCTGCTGTTCCATGTTCGCACATGTCTGTTCTTTGTAATTCCTGTGTAACAACACAAATTCTTGTGTAACAATATTGTAAACTCTGAATAGAACTGCTGTGGCACAGCCCTGAAATGTTTGTATTTAAATTCGTGGTGTTTGAGTCACATAAGAAAATAACGTCCTTGTTGTCAGCATTTGCCTCGCTATTCCCGGTAGCAATGCTTAAGCCAGAGGAGTATCCTTCCTGTACTGCAGAACAGGAAATAAGCTGGTTCCTTTTACATTCTGAAAACAATGAAGTTTGTCCTTTGCCTAACTTTTAGAAATTACATCCATTTTGATGTTCTGGACAATGTGTTACTTTGTTTTGCTTCCTTGTGAAATACAATGGAAACAGCATGTCACAATCATACATCCATAATAAACTATTAATGCAAAATTTGAGAATGTAAGTATTACAAATTTAGTGTATTTTTTCTTGACCAAGCATCCTGACCATCGCTCAAATAAAAGATGAAATTTCACATTAGGTTAACAGCTATACACACCTAAGAAATAGTGAAGCACTATGATAAAACAATACAAGCATAAGGGAAAATTAACTATTAAAAAAACTTTTTTTCTGGAGGGGAAGTATGAGTTTTTTATGATACATGTTTGAAGCAGTCCTTTTATCAGATGTGACCAACTAACAGCAAAATCCATTGCAAATAAGGATTTAGATTGCTGCAAATTATGTTCCTAGCAGTTGATCCTTAATGGTGCCTGTCCTAGAGGTTAGTTAGGTCCAAATGTATATAGCAAAAATACTTCTGAAGTTGAATACTTGGCATCTTTGAAAGTTTGTCTTGAACTTTTAAGAGGGATATTATGCTTACATTTGAATGGTTGTGTTCTTTTGTCAGTACTTCAGCTGAGGCTACAACAAAGACGGACACGTGAACAGCTGGTGGACCAGGGCATCATGCCACGTAAGACTTGCTTTAATTCTAGTAATTTTTATTACTATAATGTATTAAGTATGAACTCACATATAAAATAATGAAGATCAGGATTTCTCTAAGATCATTGAAAATAACTATCATTTGAAAGGACCAGTGGAATCCTTATGGTTACCTAAATGAGTGGGAAGTAAATTCATCACGCTTACCTAATGTTACAGTTAAAATAGCCACTGTGATGAAACTGCAAACTAGACAGTGATAGGACAAAGGGAAACAGTTTTAAAGTAAAGAAGGAGAGATTTAGATGGGATGTCAGATGGAAGTTCTTTACAGAGAGAGCGGTGAGGTGCTGGAACAGGCTGCCCAGAGAGGCTGTGAGAGCTCCGTCCCTGGAGATCTTCAAGGCCAGGTTGGATGGGGCCCTGGGCAGCCTGGTCTGGTGCTTGACCTAACTGTTGGCAGCCTGCCTGTGGCAGCGAGATTAGAACTTGATGATCTTTGAGGTCTCTTCCAACCCAAGCCATTCTATGATTCTATGAAATAAATCAAATTTTATAAATGACTGAACACCAATACCAAAGCCAGCAGTATTTTAAGTATTTCAGTATTTTAAGGATAAATGTTGCCAGACCAAACCAAAGGACACGCAGAAATTATAACTAGGGCATCAACAGGCAAGTCTTCTGTGTTAAATCTTGCATGATCATGGCTGTGATGTTACAGGACATGACTTTGGCTAGGCATTGTGCATCAAAAGCTTTTGTGCTTAGCTTCTTCCCATCATTGCATACGAATACATTTCCAGGAATATACGAGGAGGCTTTGTTTATTCTGGGGTTGATTTTATTTTTCAGAAGGCTGCTGGTTTTTTTTACTAGTTGCCAGAAGTTCCTGATCCATTTGTCATATCTGGCAAAGCACCCAAGCTGGTGTAAGAGTTTGGTATTCTTCTCTTCCAGATCGGATTATATACTGGTAGTGAATGCCTTTAGATGCCATCTTTTGAAGTGTTGAGATGCTGCTGATCAGCTGTAGTGCGAAGTGTCTTGCTAAGGCCGCAGTGTCCTCAAGATCATAAATTTATTTATAAATGCATAAGTTTATTTATGCTACCAGGATTCTGTAATGCTGAGCTCCCAACTCTGAGTACCTGCCATCCTTCCTTGAAAGCTGTGCAAGAAGTTAGTAAATCATGAAGTTACTAAATCGTTTTTATCTCTAACTGTTCTACAATTGGAATCTAACTGCAGTTTATAGTGTCTGAACTCCCAGCATTTTATTTTGAAAGCAAGTAATTGACATGCTTTATGCAAATGCGCTTTATTGCCAGAGTCTGTTTCCCTTTATTTGATTGATTATATGAATTTGATTTCAATGTGTTAGAGGTGATGGTTGTTTCAGCAGCACTGTGACACCTGAAATCAATTTAGGAATCACAAGAGGATCCTCCTGAATAAAGGCAGGCAGAAGAGCTGTACCGAGGCTTGTCCTTTCTACCCCCGAATACTTCTCCTGTGGTCTGTCCAGAGATAAATTGTTCAGACAGTTTCACGTGATGATTGTTTCTTTCCTTCTCGCCTGGCTGTTTCACAAGGTTTAAGAACTCCTAGGCCTGTACACTTGCCACAGAGGCTCCTAGTAGAGGCAGTGGATATTCATCTGTCATCAGAGAAGTTATCTCCAGCTCTTCAATGTGAGAAGTCTTGCTTGCTCTTGATACTGTACTTTATGGTATAGCAGGCGTGCACCTTCTCTTGTGACTAGCATAGCAATAGTGCTATCTTTTTTCACTGGGGTGACAAGAAGAATTCAGTTCTGTCAGTGTGCACCATGATAAGGAGCATTGGATTTCAGAGACGTACCAGTTGGATTGGCCTCTTCTTTCTTCCATTTTCAGTTCTGGTAAAAATAGTTTTCACACTCAGTAACCAAGGGGCAGCTGTCCACCAACATACACAAAGTACAGTAAGCTCATTTAGCTCATAAAATTTAACTCATTGTGGAGCTTACCAAAGGAGTGATGACTCCTGAAAAATTCTTCCTGTTGAAAGAAGTACATGAGGCCAGCATCCTGGGAGATCAAAGGAGACTGTAATAATTTCTAGCAATGAGTGGTAAGATCTCTGCTTTAATCAGGACTGTCTAGCTCTGAATGTAGAACGTGCTTGTCTTGTGCATTCCATCACAAAGGAGTACAGGGCTATACTCAGCAGTAGAACAGAGCTATTTTATACCCATCCAGTTTCTTCTGCTCTGATCAGGACAGAGAAATCTACAATTGCTTTGCACCCCAAATAATCCTTGACAAAGGATCAAAAGATTGACAGCCTCTGAAGAAAAGTGGGGACCTTCCTGTTGGTCTTCCTTCAGTTTCATCTAGAGAATTACCAGGCTTTGTTCTCCAGTTAAAAATTCAGTTTACCACTTTCTTAGATTTTCCCCAAGTAAC